AAGGCCACTGGGAAAATGTGTGTGGTCACTCTTATGCTTTATTATTATTATTTTTTCCTTCTAATAGCTTGTCATACCACAAACAAATTAAAGTAATCATAAGTACAGTGATGTGAGATCAATAAGATAGCAGTCGACTCCGCTCTTCTCTGGCCAAATGAACACAGATGGTATGATTACCATTTCAGGCTGCATCACTAGTCAGATTGTGGACTGATGTCATTCAGAATATTTCATCCAGCTCCTGCTTGAAGATTCGGATACGTCATGCCAGCATTTGATGGGAGAAGTTGTAGTCTATCCAGCAGGGCTGTCGTTTAGCCAGTAGTGGACGACTGGCTTAGCAGTGACTGTAAGCATGATAAAACTCCATTGTGGTCCTGGCAACTCCTGGCTTGACACGTTCATTGCTGTCTGTAGGGGTCTGTGCAGAGGACTTGTCTGGTTCTTGTGGTCTGTTCCGATGGCTATCAAGTCGGGAATGTTCAGTTGTTGTGGTCTTCACTGACATTCAGGGCTGCATTGTGGTCATCTCAGGGTGCTGGTCTGGTTACGGACTGGATCCAGCTAACTATGATAAGCTTGGGACAAAGATGAGACCGACATAAAAATAAGTAACAATTATCGGATGTTGACTTTCTCCTCATAGCACCTGTAATCACACAAGCACATTTTCCTACAAAATTTCATGAAATCCACCAATTTTTATGTTTTAAAAGAACACTCCACTATTTTTGAAAATAGGCTCATTTTCCAACTCCCCTAGAGTTAAACAGTTGAGTTTTATCGTTTTCGAATCTATTCAGCCGATCTCTGGGTCTGGCGGTAGCACTTTTAGCATAGATCATTGAATCTGATTAGACCGTTAGCATCTCGCTCAAAAATGACCAAAGAGTTTCTATATTTTTCCTATTTAAATCTACCGCCAGACCCAGAGATCGGCTGAATGGATTCTAAAATGGTTAAACTCAACTTTTGAAACTGAGCCTATTTTCAAAAATAGTGTAGTGTTCCTTTAAAAGGATACACATAACTACTAGCTTTAAAGGGGTCATATGATGCGATTTAAATTTTTCCTTTCTCTTTGGAGTGTTACAAGCTCTTGGTGCATAAAGAAGATCTGTAAAGTTGCAAAGACTAAAGTCTCAAATCCAAAGAGATATTCTTTATAAAAGTTCAGAGTCAGCCACACCTACCTAAAACGGCTCGTTCTAACACGCCCCCACATGTCTACGTCACGATGTGGGAAAATTTGCATAACGCCGCCCAAATGTTCACACAAAGAAAGAAGGCATAACTTTTATTCTCACTGTAGTATTATTGTTGCCGCTGCAGCCATGTCCTGAAGACGCTGTGTGCTTCGTTGTGAAAGCGAAACTACTTTGTTTGGCCTTCCAAAAATGGACACAACTAGAAATCAGTGGTTAAGTTGTATTTACAACACTGTTCCAAAACTGGATAGCTGGCCAATCACAGCACACCTCGCTTTTCAGACCGATGAGCTTTGTAAAAATCGACGTGTTTCAAAAAGGCGGGGCATAGAGGAGAAACAATAATGTACAGTATGTGGAAAATAATGTGTTTTTTTAACTTTAAACCGCATAAACACATTTCATTACACCAAATACACAAAATAATGTTATTTTTAGCAGCATCATATGACCCCTTTAAAAACAAAAGTGTGCCAACTGGCATTTAAAGAAGTTTGACATTTTGGGAAATGTGTTTATTCCTGCCAAGATTTATTAGAAAATCTCTCAAGTCTAAACAGTAAACATAAAGCTACAGCCAGAAGCTGGTTAGCTTAGTGTAAAGGCTGGAAACAGGCAGAAACTGCTGGCTTGGCTCAGTCCAAATTTCAAGGTGTTCTCACTGCAGCATGTAGCACGATGACATACTGAATTAAATCCAATAGATAGTGAACGTTGTAACACACGTTGTAGGGGTAGGGTTAGTTTATACTATTTATCCAGTACCTTTAGGTTTTAAAGCTAAGATGTGATAGTTCATCAGTGCTATCCAGTATGTCAGTGTAACAAGGGGTTCTGAAGTGGAAACATACTTTGTCTAAGACCAGCTGCCTTTGTGAACCATCGTCAGTATTAAAGAAAATAGCCAGCTAAATCAAGTTTAAAATTATATTTAATTTTACTTTACTCAGGCATCAGGAAAAGATCAAAAACAGACAAAACAGACCCCAAAACAGAATGGTGCCATTTGTGAATAAGCTGTAGGCTACAAAAGAAGAAAACACATATGTAACATTAATGTACAGTATCTTAATTTGACTTTATATGATATGATTTAATTATCTGAAACAAGGGGAGGTAGGGAATATAATATATTCAAGATTCTCCTCACTTAACTCATCTTTCTGGATGGGATTTTAACCATTGGGAATTACAGGAACTGGTAGGACAAAGACAAAAGCCTCCACAGGAGAGAGAGGGCAAAGATATAATGAGGGAGGTGAATTTTAGTCAAAGTTGTCCACATTCTCAAAAACAAACAAAAAAAACCTTAAGAACTTGCTTGAGAATTTCACGTTTAACTTTTGTCATCCTGTACTCCTGTCTGTACATGCAAAGAGGAACCGCTAATAGCTGTATAAACATACTTTAAATTGCATAAATTTGTGAAGATGTAAACAAAAATTGGATCAAAACTAATATACCAGAACCGAACGTTTACTTAAACAAGTAGGTATAATGTTAGCTTCATTTCACCTGCAATTATTACTTGAAAGGGAAGATAAATTACCAACATATTCGCTCAGGACTGGAATAAAATGTGGATTTAAGGTAACTAAATTGTTTTAGATTTAGTTCCAAGAAATAAATCCCATCCAAATTGGGCTTTGTTAACTTTTACTGCATTATATTAACCTGGCACTATGACTGCACTATTTCAAAAGTTAACACTTGTTAAACCATTATAATGAACCACCTATGACCCTGTTAGGCTGTTTTATTGTCTTACTGTACTTATAAATAAGGAATATACGCACAATTTTTAGATAACAATATGTGTTATGTGTTATAACAATATGTGACTGCTTAATTAGTCCATTATTTTACCAAGTGGTGAGTTTTAAGCTGAACTTGCAGTTAGCGGTGCCAAAAATGAGCAGAAACAAAACAAAGAAATCTGGGAAAGTACTATAAATTAGTGCAAAGTGTTTTGTTTATTTTATGACCAAGTATTACTGCCAACCTGTAGTTTATCCTTACAGTCCAGACAGGCGAGCTAAAGCACTAACTGCCATGTCAGCGGTTCGCCGCGTTCATTGATGTATGAGTCTGCTAGCAGCTTGCATAGAATGCGACAAATTGAGTTTTGAAATCTGCCATTTACCTAGTCGGGAATAGCTACAAGGCAGTTGTTGAGGTAAAAGGAATGACCACCAATAAAAAAAAAAGTGCATTCAGAATTCTTTACAATTATTATTAGGGACAACTACACCGCTTTTTGACATTTTCAGAGACATGTCAATACCATTCGCTCTTAACACAGTGGTCACCTCAACACCTCTTGATACAGTTTTCATTATGTGTGTGACCGTTTTTGTTGCGTAATGGGATCAGAACCAGTTTTCTGTCCAAAGCTTTCTGACATCTGTCTGAGAGCAAGGCTGTCGGCACCGTTAGTCCAATGAGGACCATAGCATTTCTAACAAAGCCCTTTTCTCTAAGGTAAACTTGTGAATTATTAAACAAGGGCTTGGGCTAGGGGATGCCTGAGGTAATCTGCCAGTCACAAATGTGAATATTAGAGCTCTCCATCACATAGAGAAAGCCTGCTGCTATTGAATCTGATTGCCACTGGGTGTTTACGGCATGGGGAATGCTTCTTTACTTCCTAAAAAATGCAGAATTTTATTATATAAATGTGATGGTGATCTATGCCTGTCCTTGGGTTGTTTACAGCTGATCTGTCAATCATGTTTTATGCTATATACAATTTAAAAAATCATTTCATACACATAGAATCATACATACAAAAATCATACACATAGAATATACTAGAATACACATTTATTTTTCTTAAAAACAGTAAGTTTGACCTTATTTAGAAAGAAAAAGTAGAGCCAGAAAATGATTCATTTGAGTAACCTGGAAAAAAAAATAGTGGTGTAGGATTTACCTATTCACTCAGAAATTGCTAGTAAATTTTACATATAATTACATAGGAACTAGGGCTGAACGATTTTGGAAAAGAATCTAATTGCGATTTTTTTTACCAATATTGCGATTAGCCCTAATAGGAACTGCAAGTAACACATCTAGTTAAACAAATTTTAAAGTAGAAGAACTCAAATGCTATTTTCTTGTAAAACATACTCCAATAATCTGTTATATTAATAACTTTTTTTCAGTGTATATAATCGTTATAATGTCCATTTTTCTTATGTGAAAGAGATTGTTTCAGTCATTGCTCCAATTATATAGAGAAGCACCTAACATTTGGAATGCTGCAAAATATAATATAAATGCCTGAAATATGCAGTTCAATTGAAAAAAAATATAATATTCAAACTGTAAACTCTTATTAAGACATGTAAAAGATTCTGTGGGTTAATTCTGTAAGGGATTCGTCAGACTGATTCAAATGATAACTGCAAATTTTTTGAGTGATTTTGATTGATTCATTAAAAGGATTCATTAAAGATTCTTGTCATTTGTTCAAGAATCGCACTATACTGGTTGTGCTGTGAGTTTTGAATTCACTTAAAAGATTGAGTTCCTAAGAGTCATTTGGTCATAAATCGGACTCCACAGGTCACGTTGAATGTTATTGCTGGCATCACTTAGGCAGAGTTAAGGATTCATACTGTAGATGAATTTAGAGTGTAGCCCATATGGTTCAAAACAACAAGAAAGCTTTGTTTTGTCAGTACAAGGAGGGTTGTTTTGTTGTTGGAAGTTTAATGTCAGGTTTTTTTCTTTGCCTTTTTCAAAATTTCAACTTCTAACTCTGTCTCTCTTTTTTGTCTCCCACAGGAATGAAAGTGAAGGCTTGCGTGTCTCAAATGTCGGGTAGGTTATGAGAGTTATGAGTTTGCTCATCTGCTGTCATCATGATGCTCTCGCATTTCTCATTGCCATGTCAAACTATACGATGCACATAATTTAGTAGATGTCATGTAATTTCCATGACTGAGTCATGCATGTTTATTGGCATTTTCTGCATCCTGTGTCAGATGCACATTATCTTCTTGGATGGACATCCTCATTGTCACCATCACAGATTTGTAATTGGTTTCCGTCATTGGGGATTTATAGAAAACTCTTGACAGTGAAAATAATTTTTTTTTTTTACTTTTTCTATGGCTGATTTTTGGATTATATGGACTATTTTTAAGCTTTTTAGTTTATGTTCAAGGGCATTGTGTAATCAGGGTCATACCTTTCACTTCACTTTTTTGTTTGTCCAATTTGATTCAAAGCCTTTTAATGGTGAGTTTATCTATAAAAAGTGAAATATCGCCTTAGGCATTTAGTCACTTATTCCCCATATGGCATGGCCAGTTTTGTCTATGCTACTTTATAAAATAACATGTGATGAATAATTTAGAAAAGGTATTCATGTTGATAGTGTGTACTATAGTTAGTGGCAATTTCATTTATTTTATTAAAATTTAATTAACTTGTCCTATTAAAAATAAAAGTTTTAATAGGATAGATTAAATCCAAAACCACTTCATATTCAAAGCAAAACTGTGACCACTAGAACAGCAAATTATTTATTTAATTATTTATTTCTTAGAGTCATCATGTAGTTATTTATTTATTTATTTATTTGCTGAAATCTCAAGACAGTGGCGGATGAAGATATCAAATGAAATGTGTCACAGTTTCATTTGAGCATTTCGTTTGTCAGAAGGAACAATTCTTCTAATTATTCGAATTAACATCTAATTATTATTCATAGGCTACGTTTTTGCATTTCGTGATGTCACAAACAGGCCGTCTGTGAACCACTTTTTAAAGCAAAGTGATGGCCATAAATATCACGCATACTGTACAGTAAAACATCAAACCCTAAACTTTGAGAGACCTTTTCATCATCTTGAGATTGCCGAGTTATTGCTCAAGAGGCAAGAATAAGACATATGTTTGTACTGTCTGTCTACTTGGCACTTCAGTGAGACATCGTGAATATTTTTTTCCATCAGTTTTGAGCCGTGGGTCTCTACATCATTGTGATGGGTCTTCAGAGCACCTGTGAAGCAGTAACATTTGTGGGCACCGTTGTATTGCAACTCAAGTAGAACGAAAAGACAACTGCTGCAGTATCCATTCGGATGAACATTTATGGCTGTTTCAACAGTAGGTTATTAAGTGACTTAATTAGGTCCTCGCTCAGTGCTGCAGTGTTATAGCATGCGAATCAATGTACCTCAACGCTTCCTTCCAGCTTGGGGTGGCATTAGATTAGATGGAGCAACGAAATCCTCAGGGACTCTTCCATACATCCAACAAGTCCTCCTCAACACTCGTAGCGTTTTGTGAGCCACTGAAACGGTCTTGTTCGGGGTTTGCTGTTGATCCCAGATTTCATCAGCCAGTGAAGTTTGAATTGAGCGCTGGAGAGGAAATTGTTGCAAAAGAAGCTCAGACTGCTTATCAAAGCAAGAGGCTCTCCCTAAGGAGTGCTCCTTGAAGAGCATTGGACTAGTGCAACAACATTAAACACGATAACACACAACAGTTGTCAGTAATTTGCAAATTATCTGGCTGCAGACGGATGATACTTATTAGTTTTAGGGTGAAGTGTTGTAAGGGATTGAGGGTGAATGATCATAATCGGGAAAGATCGCTGTGTATTTTCTGTTAGGCTAGCAAACCAGGCAGTTTTATAGACAGGGGAAAGCCTTGTTGTCTTAGCCTTTAGCCTGTATGAAACCCAAAGGCCCTGTGTTGACAGTCTCTTGGCTCAGTGTTCTTCCTCCGGTTCTGTCTTATTAACATGGAAAACTTGATAAGATTGTTGAATTAGAAAAGCAAGTCTGATATGAATCTAAATTTAAAGTTCCTTCCTGTGTTGGTGTGAATGAACCAGATGTATAATTTGGCAGTATAAGGACTTTGTTGTGTTTTATTGGACCAATATATCGGCCAGTTTTTGGTCATTTTGAGATGATTCACATAATTTCATCACATGATAAGCAACTCCGCTTGGCTGATTTAACAGAAGTGTTCAGTTCCAAACTTGCGTCCCAAACAGTTCCGGGCTTTGTTAATAAATTATAAGAAATTTTGGTTTTTAAATTTCTTTGTGTGTGAATTTTATTTTAGAGTAAATATTGTGGGGGACAAAATTAAATAAAAATTTACAGACATAATGGAAAAAAGAAATTATTGGAAATGAATTTATGTAAAAAATAAAAAAAATAAATATTGTGATGTATATACTAACATTCAAAAGTTTGATAAATGTTGTTTTGGAGGTCTCATGAAAAATATTGATCTGCAGTATATTTCACAGAAACCTCTCTTTTAGTTTTAAGCAACTGTTCTATCCTTAGAAATGGGGACAAACACTTGGAGGAAGTGCAGACTATGGGAATTTCACTTACAGTAAAGTTCTCTTCTTCGATATCAAAGCTTCAAACTGAACTCAATAGAGTGAACAGGCATATCGCTCATATCTCTCCCTTATCTGGACATTTTTAAACCCCCCTCAGTCAGACTTTGATGTTGAGACTGATAAATGGATGCTGGCAGTTGAGTCAGATATCAGTGTTATTTCAGCCAGTTTTAATGTCGTCAAACGCTCTCATCGGTTTCAAACCACAGACAATATGTTGTGACTTTCTAGGACAAAATGACAGTTTGAGCTGCAGTGGAGGATGTTATCCTTGGATCGTTGTGTGTGTGTGTGTGTGTGTGAATGAGTGTGTGTCTGTTTGTTTGTTTGTGTTAGTCTACATGTATATGTGTGTGTGTTCCCTCACTGAAAATTTTATTAAATTAAAAATCAATTAATTCTCAAATGTAGTTTTATTTTCAGGTAGCAGCATACAGTATTTATTATTTATTTAAATCTGCTCATTCAAAATAATTTTTATGAATGCTATTTTAAAGTAGCATCATATAGTTTTCATGTAGTTATTTATTATGAAAATTATTATTAAAATATATGTTAGTATACTTTTATTTATTTATTTATATTACTTTCCTCCCTCTGTCTTCCAAAACACTGTAAAAAAAATAATTGATATACAAGTTTTATGTTCAGATAGCATCCATATGTTTTATGAAAAGTATTTATTATTTAGCATTTTAATGAATATTATCAATTTATCAATATTCTTTTTTTATTGATCATTTTGTATTTAATTTAGTTACTTAGTTAAATTGTGTTTATTTATTTATGTCACATATTTTCACTCGTCCAAAACACTGTTACAAAGTGCTGTTTTTTTCAGGTATTACCATATAAACTTTATGTATTAAAGTATTAATAAATTAAATATATGTGTATGCATACATATGGCATTTTTAATTTGCCAGCGCTGCTGGGTATAAATTCAGAATTATTGGAAATTGATAAATATTTCAAGCTTTCACTTCTCTGTATACGTTTTGCAGTATATAACTACTGTATGTGTTGTAATGACTGAAATACTTCTGAGGAGAAAACACCCTTCACGCTTTAAAAAACAAAAGTAAACTTCATATTAGTCTTTAATCTTTTCGAAAGCACAATTTATCATGGATAACGTAATATATAACACTTTTTTTATACAATAAAACTTATGAAGTGTAGTCTATTTGACAAATCGTTTCAATTTCAGTGACTCAGACCATCATCAGAGCAGAGTGAAATGTCACCTCTTGCAGTTTTCTTTATTCACCTTACCACAAACCAAAATATGTCACAGCTACCAGGCTTTGCAAGTTGCGTTCATCAGCATGACATCAACATGCCTCTGTTTTCCACTGAGCTGCCCTGTACAATGCATTGTTCCTTCTAGACAAGGACATGTGTGTGAGCGAGTATAGCCGCGGGGAGGTTTTTCGGCCTGGTCCCCAGAGCATTTACCCTCTCTCGTTTTCACCTCGGACTTTACACTCACCTTCCTGCTTTCTTTCTCGCTCTGTATGTGTCTGCTCATTGATTTGGTGCCTGTAATAGGCTGCTCCATTGAAGCCTATCCACTCCGGGTGCGCGCGCGTGTGTGTGTGTGTGTGTGTGTGTGTGTGTGTGTGCGCGCGCGTCACCCTTCACGCTTTAAAAAACAAAAGTAAACTTCATATTAGTCTTTAATCTTTTCGAAAGCACAATTTATCATGGATAACGTAATATATAACACTTTTTTTATACAATAAAACTTATGAAGTGTAGTCTATTTGACAAATCGTTTCAATTTCAGTGACTCAGACCATCATCAGAGCAGAGTGAAATGTCACCTCTTGCAGTTTTCTTTATTCACCTTACCACAAACCAAAATGTGTGTGTGTGTGTGTGCGCGCGCGCGTGTCACACAGCTGTTGCCAGGCTCTGTTCCAGCACTCTGATACTCACGCTAACAGTGCAGAGTAAGACGGGTGCTTTCTGCTGACATGCTGTTCTGTACTTGGCCTGTGGCTTTGCCAAGGTTAAGTAGGCAGGGCTGGCCACACATTGGTTGCTTGCAGATACTGGGAAACAAAAATGTGTGGCTGTGTTGCTGGCCTAAAAAAAAATGCTGCTCTTACGAATATCTGAAAGAAGGAAGGTATCAAGGCATGTCTGAATCTGTCATCCATGCCTCCTTTTGATTGCTTTTTAAAGGCAGTCAAAAATCTGCCTTTAAAAAGTAGATTAACATTTTCATTTTTGTTACGACCGTCTAGGGCCATTCATAGCATAAATGAAACGTGCGCTCACTCCCAAGATAGTATCAAACGAATAGATTTATTAACAAACTTATAATGAAAATGAGTAACAAAGGGGACAAATTCAGGAGTGGACAAGGCCAAAATAACAAACAAAAATAAAAAATTTTAGTATACCCTTTAAATTCTCTAACCAAAATAAAACATAAAAA